AACCTGAACCTTAGACCCTGCCCAAACTCTAAAGTGCGAGCGAAGCGAGCGAAACACCGGAGTACATCTGACATGCGTTTGTTGTCAGGGCCTGTTTTTGATGGTTTTTGGAGACTTTTGTTTGTTGTCAGGCTTTTTGTTTTTTGTTGTTCGACATCTTCACTTTTTGCAAATTCCTGAAGATATTGGTGTTAAGACATTTTTGGTTCAAAGTCTGTCAAGGTGTCTTGAGACGGTTTTTCCAAGTGGTGTTGAGACACTCTTTTTTTGGCTTGATCTGAACTTAAAAATGGTGCTGAGACACTCTTTGGTGTTCAGACACCCTTTGGTTCAAATTTAGGTTTTTGTCAAAGTGGTCTTGAGACATTCTTTTGGTTTGAATTTGGGTTTTTTGCTGAAGAGGTGTTGAGACACAAGCTTGATGTGGACTCAAAGTGGTGCTGCCATTTAGTGTTGAGACACTTTTGGTTCAAGTTCTTTGGGTTTTTTCTGTCAAAGTGGTCTTGAGACACCTTTGGTTTTAAAGTTTGGTTTTTGGCCTGCCAAATTGTTTAAGACCCCTTTTTTATGGCTCGATTCTGGGCCCAAGAGAAGTGGTGGACCCTGTTGGTGTTGAGACATCTTTCGTTCAAAGAAGTGGTCTTGAGGTTGGTGTGACCCTTCTTTTGGTTCAAAGGTTTTGGGATTTTCTTTCAAAGGGGTTCTTGAAACACCCTTTTGGTGCAAAATTTTCGGGTCTTCTCCAAGTGGTGTTAAGACACCCGATCTGGACTTCTCAACATTGGTGTTGAGACCCTTTGGTTCCAAAGTTTTTTGGGTTTTCAAACTGGTCTTGAGACATTCTTTTTTGGTTTAATTTCTTTCCTGCAAGTGGTGTTAAGACACCCTTTTCCCTCGATCTGCACTTTGGTGCTGAGATAAGACACCGTCTCGTGTTGAGACACCGTTTTGGCTCTATCTGGAACTTTGTGGGGTCAAAGTGTCAATTTTTACAGCGAGAAATGCGAAGGAAGCAAGGAAGCTCCAGCACCTTTACTGCCATTAGAGGTTTGAAACTGGTGTTTTTGGGGCTCTTTTAGCTCCAAAAAGCGTTTGAATTGGCGTCGCTTGAGAGGGCCTCCCCAGTGCAGAACAAATTGCTGGACGACCAACCAAAGAGAGCCATTTTTTGTATGATCAAGGCATGGTCACTTGGAAGCAGCTTCCATTTGCTGGAAAGCAATTTTCTTGACTTGCTGATGGATAGAGTGACGGCTCATGCGCAAGTGGCTGTGTCTCTGGAACGTTTGATAAATCGGCTGAAAATTGGTTGGTGTTAGGTTTTTGAGGGGCCAAAAATGACCCCGAAAATGGATTCAAAAAAGAAAAAGCGTCACCAAAAACAGGCCCCGGAATTTGAGCTTAAGGCAGAGCCACGCATGGCAAACTGGATAAGGGAACAAAAAGCAAAGCCAAAAAAAGGGGCTTGTTAGGTCCGGATTTTTGCAAGAAGGGAGCCCCCCATTTTTGGGCCGCATTTTCCGGCCCACACCTTGAGTGCAATGCTCAAGAATTCGTCAGTGTTGCTGGGCATTTCGGTCACGCCCTAAGGGCAGTCAGCACGGGACCGTTCATGCCGTAGCGCGCAGTCTTGTCGATGTGAACGATCCTCGTAGGCACCGGCGGCTTCACATCCGCTCTCATGATGGCTGCAGAGCGTCCTAGAAAGGTTGGCCTCAAAGTGTCCCCACTCATAGCATCATGGTCGTACAAGGCGACAGCAAGTCGAAGCTGCTTGGTGCCAGAGGGACAGAAACGTTTCTTCTCTGTGTGTTGGCGCTGAAGATGCTGTCGTAGGTGCGCACGCTTGTCGAAGCGACGCCAGACAGCAAGGCCAAACACCTGGGCGGAATGTAGTGCTTGCTTTTGAGATCACTTCCTCCAGCATGTGATCCACTTCCTGCTGCATAAGCTTCATCAGTTCCTGGCCAACATCCACCTCTCCTTCGTTTCGAGGCCCCGTCCTTGCAGGATGCCCTCCGTCAGAAGCTGGTCTTTTCTTGCTGGAGCCAGCAAGGAGATCCAGGAAGCCCTTGTCGGCCTGTTCCAGCTCGGGATCCTGATCAGCCATCTTGAAGACCAGTGTCTCCTTGCAACCTACATAGTCGCTGATGAGCTCGAGCAATGCTGGCCATGTGGTTCGGAAAATCTTGCCGCGGTGTAGAACGAAAATGTTGCACTCCTCGGCAGGTTTCACACCAATGCAGCAGGATTCGTGCGGCAGCTCAATATGCACGAGACAGTTTTGGTCTGACACCGTGGCAACCTTTCCGGCTGGGACAAAGTATTGGGAGTCCACGCCGTTCCAGTCTGAGTACCGCCGCACGCGGCGCCTTTCAGCTGCAACGTTTTCTGGTGACTCTGTTTGCAGGAGTTCAAGGACATGCGAAAGATTGGCTCCCAGGAAAATCAAACCAGCCGGGATAGAATTGGGCACTGCTGCCAGGAGAGCGGCATGCTCACCCAGACCAGGTTCTTCCTCAGCGGTGTCGAAAACTTGCGCGAGTGTGGCGTCAAACTGGCGAGCAGTGCTCGAGCCTTTCGGACAGGGCTCTGCCCTGGCGCGAGGCGAACCTGTGGCCCTGGGCCTCTTATCCTGTGATCCCTGGAACTCTCCTGGACCCGCGACGGCCCAGATGCTGTGAAGCGGAGCCTTTCAGGACTCCCACTCCGGACACCTCCCCACGCGATGGGGGGTGCGCCCCGACATCTAAAGAAAAGGCGCGTTCCCGCGCGCGGGGCTTCCAGAAGAAACTATTCACAGAAGTTAGAAGTGGACGTGACTCAGATTTGGGGCTAACATCCTAAATCCTACATCCCGAACCAATCCCCAATTCTTCAATCCCAACGAAGCCATTGAAGATTTAGGGTTTTGCTCTGGGGTCTTCCAGTAAATAAGGGCCTCCACGGGTTTAGGGTTTAGGGTTTAGGGTTTAGGGTTTAGGGTTTAGGGTTTAGGGTTTAGGGTTTAGGGCGCAGGGTTTAGGGTTTAGGGTTCGAAGGCCCGAGCAGTATAGTGTGGGTGGCCGGGGTGGGTTGTTGAGCAACGTGAGCGCACGGCCCGGGGTGTGTCGTAAACCCTACACCCTAGAAACCCTAAACCCTTACAACCCTAATTACCCAGAACCCTAAACCGTAAACTCTAGAGCCTAAACCCTAAAACCCTAAACCCTAGACCCTAAACCCTAAACCCTACCCCCCCCCCCCTTCCAAGCACTCAAGCGCAAGAAAGTTCGGCCTCGGAGAGTTGTTGTCGCTTCTGCTGCACCACTTTGGGTACATGTACAACCTGCCAAGGGTTTATAGGGTTTAGGGTTTAGGGTTTAGGGTGTAGGGCTACATGTACAAACTGCCAGGGGTTCTAGGGTCTTAAGGTTCTAGGATTTAGGGTTACATGTACAACCTGCCAAGGGCTCTGGGGCTTCAAGGTTCTAGGATTTAGGGTTTTGGGGGTTTTGGGTTCTGTTGGGGTATAGGGTTCAGACTGTGGGGCTTTAGGGTGTCGGATTGGGATGTTCCCCCCCTTATGCTAACAGTCCTTAACCGGGATTTTCAGAAGCGGTACTAGTACTATACTCCCTATAAAGGACTGTGTATATAAGCGGGAACATCCTAAGTTTTAGGATTTCAGGGTGGGGGGGGGGGGGTATAAGAACCCGAATGCTCATTGAACGTCCACAAATGCCACAGGTAGCAAGCAGAACTGGAGGCCCCAAGCAAGCCAAGTGAGAAGACCGCCCCAGAGTTGATGCTTTGAGCGTTTCCTTCATCGGCCTGTGAATAACGTAGGACGTGGGAAGCTTTCTGAGGGTGCTCATGCTGTTAAGTTATGAACCGCACCTTCTAGTATCATGCTCATCTGCGGCACCCCAAAAACCGTCAGCCCAGATCCCCAAAACCCTAAACCCTAAACCCTAAACCTTAAACCCTAAACCCTAAACCCCAAGCACTACACCCCAGAACCCCTGCGCACGCGCTTTTCCGCCACACGCGCGACGCTCGCAGCACCTCGGGGCGGCTCAAGTGAGCCATGCTGTCAACGTGACCCTTTCGATGAGTTCAGGTTTCGGAAGGTAGTCTTCAGGCTTGGGAGTCTTCCTGTTTGAAAGAAGGCTGTCACGTTGACCGCTGGCAGCCCGAAAATCTACAGGTTCTGGGGCAAAGCGTAGTCAAACCCTACACGCTTATCAAGTCTGTTTCTTTCACGTGCGCCAACCGTTTTATTGCGTCGCAACAGACTACGGTCTCTGCCTACGGCTTCAGTCCTTGACAGCCATTTCGCGGGAGATTGCTGAAATATGAACTCCCTTTCGCTGCACTTGTGGCACTGCATGCATGGACAGGCGTTCATGGGGGAGGGCGGTCAAGCGCTAGCGGTCAAAAGACCTGAACCTGTGAGCTTAAGTAGCAAAAAAGAGACTCTAAACCCTAAACCCTAAACCCTAAAAGGAAGATGCAGCGAACCTAACGCTACCCTCTGGGTCCATGGGCCCGACAGCTGCAATATAGGAACCCCGTCAAGGCTCTAGTGTATACTATTTAGGGTTTAGGGTTTAGGGTTTAGGGTTTAGGGTTTAGGGTTAGGGTTTAGGGTTTAGGGTTTAGGGTTTAGGGTTTAGGGTTTAGGGTTTGGGGTTTGGGGTTTGGGGTTTGGGGTTTAGGGTTTAGGGTTTAGGGTTTGTTGTTTAGGCTTTAGGGTTTAGGACCCTTTCGGGGTAGAAGAAGGCGGCATGGGAGCAACTTGGGGCTGGCTCTTGCCTCACACAGCGAGGTCGCCCTCCCCCGCGTTCGACAGAAGCTTGTGCTGGCGGAGCCTGCGCCGGTTTGTCCCGAAACCCTATAAACCCTGTAAACCCTATAAACCCTATAAACCCTCTAAACCCTGTAAACCCTGCAAACCCTACAAACCCTAAAAACCCTAAACCCTAAACCCTCATGGAGGGACGCCACTCTGTCCAGCCTCAGCAGCTGCTGACGTCCACCTGCTGGGGGACAGGATGCAGTCAGAGCCACGGGGGTGAAAGGTCTAGGGCTTTTACGGTAGTTTAGGATCTGGGGATAGCTGTCGTTTCCCTGAGTAAGATTGGACCCCTGAACCTTCCACAAAGGTCACAAAGGTTAGTTAGGGCTTCACGAACAAGAATCCTATCGCATCAGCCCAAAGCAGGCTGAGGAGGACGGCGAAATGCAAAAACAGAGTGTACAAAAAGCATTGAGAGCCCTCCAAGGATTCGGCTCAAGGGATTTTGGGTTTACGGGGGAATGGTAGGGGAAATGACTTGGGATGTTCCCCCTTCTACTAACAGTCCTCAGTAGGTATTATAATAAGGGTACTATCATCCGTATTAAGGACTGTTAGTTTTGAGGGGGAACATCCCAGGAAATGACCGAGGTCTAGGGAGAGTTTAGAGGTGTGCATCTTAGGCACTGTCGGGCTCCGCACCCCTTGGGCCTGAGGCCCTGGACAGGGATTCAAGGGTTAGGGTTTAGGGTTTAGGGTTTAGGGTTTAGGTTTAGGGTTTAGGGTTCAAAGCTCAAAACACCAAACTCGAATCGGTAGATCACAAGCCCCAGACCCCACAAACGTCGGTTGACACAGGGTTTGTCGGGTTAATAGGGTTTGCAGGGTTTATGGGGTCTCGATGTCTCAGGGCGACCGTCCCCAGAAAGCTATGCAAGGGAAGGGCCCCCCCTCAAATACAAGAGGAAGAAGACAAAGAACAAAAAAGAATGAGTCCACCACTGCAAGTCCTAGTTTCCCCCCAAGCTCTACATCCTCCTCCCCCCGAAGAAACAAACAAAAGCAAAACAAGGAAGGATGTCACGGTGAATTTGGGATGTTCCCCCTTCTACTAAAGGTCCTGAATAGAGATTATGGTGCCCCGTATTATACCCCCTTTGAAGGACTGCTAGTGCTGCTAGTACAAGGGGGAACATCCCAACAGGGAATCCTTAACCCAAACCCTAAACCCTAAACCCTAAACCCCAAACCCCAAACCCTCTAAACCCCAAAAACCCCAAACCCCAAACCCTCTAAACCCCAAACCCGAAAAAGACCTTCGTCTGCCTCCTCCTTGCCCTGCAATGCTTCGCAGACGTTCTCGTCATCAGACGGCTGCGCGACGCCTCGACGCAAAAGAGGATTACAGGGGTTCTTGGGGTTTAGGGTTTTAGGGTTTTAGGGTTTTAGGGTTTTAGGGTTTTGGGGTGTTAGGGTTTTAGGGCTTTAGGGTTTTAGGTTTTAGGGTTTTTCTTTTCAGGGCTTAGGTGCCTACATCCGAGACAGACCCGACGTTTTGCTGGGAACAGGGAGGTAGCTCTCTAACCTGAGGGTGCCAGGGTGCCCCTTTTTGAGTCCCTATAGAATCTAGCTCCCCACTAAGGAACCCTAAACCCTAAACCCGAAACCCTAAACCCCAAACCACGAAACCTAAACCCCGCACTCTAAAGGAATGGTTTGCGCGGCCGACTCCAGACGATCAGGTCACGCGAGCGCACAGCGGGTGTTCTAAGAAACAGGCGCCTGAACCCTAAAAACTCTAATCCTAAAATCCAAAACTACTATTTGCTCAAGAACCCCCCAAAAGGTAAAAGCATATTCTTAGGGTAATACAGGAATTACTATCTTTCATATTTTGGGGGGTTCTTAAGCATATAATACTAAGCTAATAGTAATAATACTAATAATAATACTAATAATAAGAAGAAGAGCTGTAATAATAGTAATAATACTAAACTAAAAACCCCAAGGCCCCAAAACCCTACATGTCCACCCCCCTAAACCCTAAACCCTAAACCCTAAAACCTAAAACCTAAAACCTAAAACCTAAACCCTAAACCCTAAACCCTAAACCCTAAACCCCTAAACCCCTAACCCCTAAACCCTAAACCCTAAACCTGCCTGGGGTGGCATGCCCAGGCATGCGGAACTGCGTGCGGGCCCAACCCTCACCTCAGTGGCCGGGGCTTTTAGGTACTTTCGGGATTGGATTTCTCGGGCTCAGGATTTTTGAAGGGTCTTTTGGGTTGCTGCTTCGGATTTTTTGGGGTTTTGGGGTTTTGGGGATTTAGGATGTTGGGGATTGTGGGTTTTGGGGATTTGGGGTTGTAGGGCTTGATGGCTTATATCCGGGATTCGGGGCTCTGGGGTCTTGGGCTTTCACGGCTTTGGGGGAATTGCGGCTTGCGAGTTATAGGGCTTTCGGTTCACCCGAAGCCCTGGACCCCAAAACCTGAACCCTAGTTGGGGTTGTAGGGTTTTAGGGTTTGGGTTCAGGGTTAGGCTCAGGTCTTAAAGCCCAGACAAGAGATCCCTTCTGGTGACGATCCTGCTGACAATTCCCGAAACCCTAAAGAGGGTTCCGGGGTCAGAGTTCGCCCTAGGGCCCAACATCACCCCGAGCCCCAGAAAACCGAAGCGTCTGTCTATTGAGCCCTGCGTGCCTGAGGGTTCAGGGTGTTTTCAACCGTCAACCCTAAACCCTAACACTACAAACCCTAAACCCGTTTGTAGGCTTTTATTTTAAGTGTTTAAGAGGGCTTTATAGGGTTTTTAATAAGGCAAACAAACACCAGCTGAGCCCATCAAAGGAGCGAATGGGGCTCAGGGGGTCCAGGGATCCCTGTGCCGGGAGTGCGCGGTGCTCGCGAGTGGCCCTCGGGTTTGGGGTTGGGGCTTGCAGGGTTTAGGGGTGTTTTAGGGTGTAGAGTTTAAAACTTGGAGTGTAGGACATAGGGTTTAAGGCCGAAGTAGATTATGGTTCCTAAACCCAAAACCCTAAACCCTAAACCCTGAACCCACTTCCCCCCTCCTTACTTTTCACTTCTCCACTGAGGGACAGTTGTAGATGCTGCTGGCAGGGATCTTCGACATGCAGAATCCCTGGGAAGCAATCCCAGTACGAGTTCTGCTGGTTTAGGGTTTAGGGTTTAGGGCTTAGGGTTTAGGGTTTAGGGTTTAGGGTTTAGGGCTTAGGGCTTAGGGCTTAGGGTTAGGCTTAGGGCTTAGGGCTTAGGGTTTAAGGTTTGAGCTTTAGGGCTCAATCGAAGGGTTCGACTTCTTTCTTGATTTCAGGCAAGAGCTGACGACTCTGACTCTGAACCCTTTGCTGTGTTCGTCTTGCCTTGCCAGGCGTGCCCGCTGCGCAGCCGCAGTCGTTGACAAACTTCCTAGGAAGGCAGCACAGGTAGTGCGGGCAGCTACGCCACCCCTGATTCCTACACCCTCATATAGGGGCCAGAATAGTTAGAATAGTTTTTTTTGGGGGGGGTCTCATCGTACCATTCTAAAGGGACCATATGTGGAAATTATTAGTCATGATGCCCCTGTATTACACCCTAAACCAATGGTGCTTCTAAACTCGCAAGTTGATGGTGGCAACTGATGGTGGTGCTAACAAATCTTGCAGTCCGCAGCAGTTGAGACTGCCATCCATGTCAGAGTAAACCCTAAACCCTGAACCCTAAACCCTAAACCCTCACCCTACACCCTACACCCTAAACCCTAAACCCTAAACCCTAAACCCTAAACCCTAAACCCTAAACCCGTGTGTAGAAGGGCCCCATGGCATGAGAAGGTTCTGTTGTTGCAGCCGTTGCGGCGTTGACACTCCAACTCTGAAGCATCACAGAACCTCAGCACCCTAAACCCCCACTGGTTTGGAACCCTACAGGGTTTAGGCTTTAGGGTTTAGGGTTTAGGGTTTAGGGTTTAGGGTTTAGGGTTTAGGGTTTAGGGAACCCTAACCCCTAAACCCTAAACCCCAAGGAAACCCTTAAACCCTAAACCCTGAACCTCTAAACCCTGCAACCCCCTAATTAGCCCCATCAACTCCCAGAAAGCCCAAGCATGCGCAAGCTGGTCCGAGCTGCACCTTGGTGCCGGTAGACTTCGCGTAGTGGCTGCAAACCTTCTTCGGGCTTGTCTTCAGCCCCCGAACATGTTCGACTCCAAGTTCTGCAGACCCTTCAGGCAATGGCCGCCGGATCGAAAAGAAAATACAAAATGATCAACAAAAACAAACAACCGAGGGCTCAGGGTTCAGAATTTAGGGCTTATTCCCCACCCTCGGTGTGGGGTTGTTAGATTTTAAACTCAACTCTTCTCCTCGCCCGGTCTACCCCTCGCTCATCCCTGGAGTGCCCAACCCCAAAGTGTCCCTGGAGTGCCCAACTCTAGAGTGTCCCTGGAATGCCCAACCCCAAAAGAGTGCCAAACCCCAGAGTGTCCCCGGAGTGCCCAGCCCCAGCGTCTCCCTCCAGAGTCTTTCTGGATTTCCCAACCCAGAGTCTCCCTGGAGTGCCCAGTCCCTGGAGTGTCCCAGAGTGTCCCGGAGTGCCCCCAGAGTCTCCCTGGAATGCCAGAGTATCTCTACCAAGAGAGGGTGGGGATGTTCGAAGTAAATAATTTCCTTTTTTATCCTTCCTGTTTTTTCTTGACCCCTATCCCCACTGGCCAGACATTGGATGGAGTTGGGGGTTCAGGGCTGTCACAACCACGAAGATGCCTGGGACTTATCAAAGTTTCGGGCTCAACCCTTTTGCGTGAGTGTGTGCGGCTAGCGGTGCCTGTGAGCCGAAGCAGGTGCACCACGGCGTCAGCAGCTCATCACTGTCCGGCATCTCCTGCACTGTTGCTCTCAGGCAAACCTTACAAGCCCTACCTGCTAGCGCGAGAAACCCCTCAAAAGGTTTTGGCCTAATTCGCGCCTCGGCCATAGACGCTGTAGCATTATGGGCCTTATTTGGAAAGGTATCAGAGTCCTTTACAGAGTGCATCGATTGCTCTCCTGTGCAGACTTTCCGGCAATTTTGCGTGCAGCTTCCAGCGACGCGGCACCGATCGGGTTGCCTGAGCGCTGATCCCGGAACTCTACAAACACCCTCGGCAGCGAGGCCTGAGCCCTAAACCCAACAAATTGAGTATCAAACTAAGTAGGACAGTGTACTCGTATCGGGTGGGAAAACGAGCAGGGCAGCTCAGGTATGAGAGCGGTGGGGAGACCACCAAATGTACACATACATCTCTCGTCATTATTGCAAAAAAAGATCTGCCGCAAAATCCTGATGCCTTCCCAGGCAGTGATGCATCCAGAGACCGCTAAATGCCGGCGCGGCACCGGCCGCGTCGTTGCCGTCCCGGGCTCTCTTGTCCAGCATGCAGCAGGTGTTGTGCGTGTCATGCTCCTTCATGCAAGCTGACCGCAACGCCCAAGAAACGAAGCTACACGAAACTACTACTGGCAGGACGGAAGCCCAAATCCTGAAACCCCAAACCCTCTAAGGATTGGCCCTCCTGCTCCTCTAAACCCGAAACCCCAAAACACACACATAGTGGCTGCCACTGCCATCATAAAGCAGAATATTCCCCAATTCAGTGGTATCGGGCTTCCTTGGCAGGGGCTTTGGGTTTACTTAAAACCCTAAACCCGAAGCCTTGGGTCCCAAAGCCCCCAAACACAAACCCTAAACCCTAAACCCTAAACCCTAAACCCCAAACCCCACCCCAAAACCCTAAACCCTAAACCCTAAACCCTAAACCCTAAACCCTAAACCCTAAACCCTAAACTTAACCCTGAAAACATCTTCATCCGCCTGGAAGCAGTGTGAGATTGCGCTGCCGGCAGCTCGATAGTTCTCACCTTCCCAGTGCCATTGGAGGGTTTGGGGGTTTGGGATTTGGGATTTGGGGTTTAGGGTTTGGGGTTTAGGGTTTATGGGGTTTAGGTATGGGGTTTAGGGTTTGGGGTTTGGGGTTTAGGGTCTCTCCTTTGGGCCTCAACTATACAGAAAACATGCGAGAATGGAGAGACCCAAACAGGGTGCATAATGCAGATCACCCACCAACAATCAACTTACCATAGCATTATATTACATACGTTACACGGGTCCAGAATGGTGAAAAGGGGAAAAGAAAGGGCCCAGTCAATAACCCGGCGGCCGTCACAAGTCTGAAGCCTAAACCCTGCAGAAACCCGAAACTCCAGAAACCCCAACCCTATAAACTGCGAAGCACACATGCGCCACAGCTGCGGTTGGAATCCATGAGCCCCAAACTGGGCACTAGTTACTATATTCCCCCTTGTTACAAGCATCAATTGTATGGTCACTTGTCTGGCCCTAACCATATTTGGGATACCCGAAAGCGACATTAGCCTAGAGAGCTGACTGACGGTTCACGGCTGCTAAGCCCTAAGTAAGTTCCCTAAACCCTAAACCCTAAACCCCAAACCCTAGACCCTAGACCCTAAACCCTAAACCCTAAACCCTAAACCCTAAACCCTAAACCCTAAACCGACCCCCCTTTTTCTCCGGTCCACGGGGCCGAAGCAGGCCACCAGAGCTTTTTCATTGCCCCAGCGGAGGCGCCTTCCCAGGCTCTTGCGCAAGGGCTTTTAGGGGCTTTAGGGTTTAGGGTTTAGGGTTTAGGGTTTAGGGTTTAGGTTCAGGGGGCTTTGGGCTGAGGGTGTTAGGGTTTAGGAGTGTGGCAATAGTTATATATGTATATAACTATTCTTCGTAATAGTAATACTGTATATATAGAATACAGTATACACAATACACAATATACAAAGAGGGGTAGGATTTCATGAGAAACACCGGGTCCTCGGCACTTCGGAGTCGTCCCTTTATAGCTATACTACAATGACCCCCCCCCCAAAAAAAAAAAACTGTTCGAATTATTGAGGCAGGCCCCTATATTACAAAGGTTTGGGGCTTTGCGGATTTGAAGGGCGACGTGCCAAAAACATTCCCTGGCTGAGCTTACGCCCTAAACCCCAAAGCCCTAAACCCTCAGTTCTCCCCGAACCTGATGCCTTGGTAGGTTGAGAGTTAGGGTTTAGGGTTTCGGGTTAGGGTTTTCTAGGGTTTTTGAGTTTTTACGGTGTTTTAGGGCTTAGGGCTCAGGGCTTGGGGCCTGGTAATATTCAGCGCATCTGCCGCATCGACGAGGAAAAGGAGCGCCAGAAGCACTCCTACCGGGTTTCGGGTTTGGGGACTCCTGCACGGGTTTAGGTTTTAAGGTTGAGGGAACCCTACACCCTAAACCCTACACCCTACACCCTACACCCTAAACCCCAAACCCTAAACCCTAAACCCTAAACCCTAAACCCTAGGCCAGCGAGATGTTGGGGCTCTCGAACTCAAGGGGGCTTTGGGCCCGGAATTCGGGAACGAGTCTGCTCAACTATCCTTAGCGACACCTTTTCATGTTGTAGAGTTTAGGGTTTAGGGTTTAGGGTTTAGGGTTTAGGGTTTAGGGTTTAGGGTTTAGGGTTCATGAACAATAATTACTTGTGTCATTCTCACGGCCCCTTGGATTTAAGAAATCAGCAACCAACTGCAAACAAATTCAGCAAGTGGCATTGCAGAATCCGTCACATAAGCCTTGTAGTTCGGCACTGGAAGCCGCCTCCGGCCCTACTTTCCCCCAAATCCCCACCAAAGAACGGGCCAGACGCGAAAACCCCCAAACCCGACCTCTCCTGAGCCCTAAACCCTAAACCCTTAAACCGCCGGTCCTCGGTAGCTGGCCATTCAGTAACCACTCACCAACTCAGTGGTACGGTGCGCTGGCCTCAGATGAAGAGGGGCCCCAAAAACGCAGCAAACCGTCATGAAAGCTGCCACTTGGGATGATCCCCTTATACCAGAATGGGGATTCTAATAGGGGGTATTATATAAGCCCTATTCAGGAGCGGTTAGCATAGGGGGGAACCCCAAATCGTAACACCGAAACGCAAAACCCAAAACCGAAAACCCTAAACCCTTTAGTATAAGGGGGAACATCCCAACCCCACTCCCGAGTGGAAGAGCCACCGGAAGTGTTGGAGGGCTGGGAAAGTCGCCAACAGAAGGGCTCGCACCAAGCGTGCAATCATCTACCCCGCTAAACCCGGGAGTAGCCTAGGAATGAAAAAGGTGCCCTGTTTGGTTTCAAGGGGAGTATATAGGGGAACCCAAACCCTAAAAAAAGAAAAAGGGGGGGGGGGGGGGGGAATAGTGGCCACTTTATAACGCCGTGCTAGGACCCCTCAAACCCTGAAACGAAAGCCCTTGCCTCCCCGAAGCACGACCAAAATTGAAATGAAGCCGGAATCGAAGTTTGGGTCTGCGGGTTTAGGGTTTAGGGTTTAGGAGTTAGGGGGGTTTGGAGGGATTAGATTTTAGGAGTAACTTAGGAAAATAAGAGTGCCCTTGGCTACTCTGGGTTCCAGCCCGAAACCCTAAAGGAAGGACCCCAGGGCTTGGGGGGCTGAGGGGTCTTAGGGCTATACAGGGCTAAACCCTAAACCCTAAACCCTGTATATACCCTAAACCCTAAACCCTGAACCCCAAGGTTCTACCGAAGTATGGATGCAGGAAGGAGTCTGACATTTCAGTCCACGCGCTGTTTGGAATCGAAGTTGGATCTTCAGCCATACGGCAAACGGCACAGGAAACGCTTGTTGAGGGTTTAGGGTTTAGGGCTTAGGGCTTAGGGTTTAGGGTTTAGGGTTCTACAAGGGTGTCGGGTTGAAATGAAAGGGCGACGCAGACCGCATGACAAAAACAAAAACGTTTCCGCGCTGAACCCTGAGGCCGTGAAACCCTCTGGATCAAGGCCCTGCGACCTAAACCCTAAACCATCCTAAACCCTAAACCCTAAACCCTAAACCCTAAACCCTAAACCCTAAGGCACCGCCAAGCTTTTTGTTCATCGCCGAGTCGGCCTAAGATAGCGGTTAAAAGCTGTCACTGCCAATGGCAGCTTCAGGAAGAGAAGCTGACACGGCTCTCCACAGCACTTTTGGGGTTTAGGGTTTAGGGTTTAGGGTTCAGGGTTCAGGGATCGGGTTGGAGCTTAGTTCGTTGTGGTTTATGTACGGTTAGGACTCAGGCTTTGTCTGAACAGGATGTGCAAGAGCAGGTTTTTAGTCGATCAGAGACGTGATGAAGATCTGCGGGGCCGATAAAGATGGATAGAGTCCTGGTCGTAAAGCATGAAAGCCTACTTGCCGAAAAGCAAGCCGGTCTCTTCAGCTTTGCGTATTGCGGCGGCCTGGGGCGAGTTGTGTTCGCGACTTGGGAATTCTCTGGGGTCTAGAGCTTGAGGCTCAGGGTGTGGAATCTAGGCTTCTCGGGATCTACTTTAGGGGTTAGGGTTTCGGGTTTATGCAGGCATTGGAGTTTAGGTTCAGAACCCCCTACTCGAACAAGAGCACTACACCCAGGGACCCTTAAAACCCTAAAACCCGAGAACAAAAAGTCCCCAGAAAGCTTAGGTGACGCAAAGCTTAGGTCCTAAGTGAGCCCATGACGAGGCGCCCCGATCTTGGGATCGATGCGCTGCCACCGCACTCGCTCCACGCGCGAAGTCTCACCGTAGACGAGCACTTCCTGTGTTTTGGTTCTGTGTTCTGTGGGCTCCGTCATGTTAGGATTTTGGGTTTAGGGCTGAGGCTTTAAGGGTTGGGGTTCAGTGGGCCTGTTGTACTTGTGCACCCTGAACTACAGCAACTGCAAGAAGGATATAATCATCATCATAAACCTTAGAACGATCGACATGATCACAGTAGCTGCAAAAGTGCTCGACTCATGGCACTCTTAGTCTCAAATGGCAAAAAATCTCAATCACAATGACCATGATGAGAATTAAGACAATGAACTTCGGGGAAAGTTCCTCGGCCCCCCTAAACCCTAAACCCTAAACCCTAAACCCTAAACCCTAAACCCCTCAAAGTTGCAAGGGTGGTAGGGGCTCCAGAGCATCCGGGCGGTTGATCAAAACAAGCGCCTGGTTGGTACCCCGAACTCTAAGTATACGAATATAAAATATGTTGCAGGGTTCTGGGGGTTCAAGGGGGGTATGTAACCCGAGGTTCCCTCATGCTCCCGGGACCAATGACTCCCTAAACCTCCCCAAGCTTCCCTTAAGGTTCCCCAGGTACCTACCCAACCCTCACCCCTTAAACCCGGCAGCCTGCGCCCTAAGTCTTTGAAGGGCATGAAAAAAAGCTACAGATCCGGTTTAACCCTATCAAGGCGAAAGAGGATGACAGGTGCCCTAAGCCATCAAGTCCCTGAACACGAAAGAACCCTGAGCCCTAAACCCTAAACCCTAGACCCTAAACCCCAAACCCCTAAACCCCAAACTCTCCAGCCGAGGTTCAAAGACATCGCCCGGCTTCTCGAAACCGTCGAGGCCGATGGTCCAGTTCAATCCTGACGGAAGTTCATGTGACCCCAAACCCTAAACCCTAAATCGTTTAGGGCTGAGAGTTTCAGAGCTTTTGGCTTAGGGTTGCGTGGCTCAGGGGGTTTCGGGGCCTTGCGGGATTTGGGGGTTGGGGTGGGGGGGGCTTTGGGGGGGAGGGGGGGTGGGGGGAGGCGGGGGTTAATGTTGATTGTGAAATTGACACTCCAAACCCTAAACCCCTGAATGCCTAGGCCGGTTGATGCATTCCCTCTCGCTGCGCTACTGATGTGGCGGAACCCTCTGTTGTTTTAAGCTCTTGCGGACCCTGCCAAAAAGGGTTTGGCAACTCTCGGTTGCCAGGTTTTTCGAAATCTTCAACTTGACATGGAAAAATGCGGAGGCCTATACCATCCAATAACCCTTCATTAAAAATGTATGCCTTTGACTTAACCGAGCTGTGTATAATCAACTAAGGCGTCAACTCTTTAATGAAGGGCATTAAACTTTTTGGAAACCTCCTCAACTAGTCTAAGCCCAACCCTACATCACCAAACCCTAAACCCTGTGCCCAAAACCCTGAATCCTAGAACCTTAGAACCCTAAAGCCTCAAACCCCAAACCCCAAAAACCCTCAATCCTAGAACCTTAAAACCCTAAAACCCTAAAACCCCAAAACCCTAAAACCTTAAAACCCCAAATCCCAGAACCCTGAGCCCTCAACCCTAAACCCTAAACCCTAAACCCCAAATCCCAGAACCCTCAGCCCTCAACCCTAAACCCTAAACCCTAAACCCTAAATCCTAAACCCTAAACCCTAAACCCTAAACCTAAACCCTAAACCCTAAACCCTAAACCCTACACCCTAAACCCCTCTTGACTTCACTTGGAGCCTCTGGTCTTGGCGTCGCCGACCTCGGGGCCGAGCACCTCATCGGCAGAGGCGAACGGTTAGTATGAGGGGGAACATCCTTTAGGGTTTAGGGTTTAGGGTTTAGGGGTTAGGGGTTAGGGTTTAGGGTTTAGGGTTTAGGGTTTAGGGTTTAGGGTTTAGGGTTTGGGGTTTGGGGTTTAGGGTTTAGGGTGAGGATGTTCCCCCTTGTACTGATAGTCCTTAAAAGGGATTCTAGTACCCCTTGTTATAGTCCCAATTAAGGACTGCTAGTATAAAGGGGAGCATCCCAACTCATGCCCCCAAATGCTCTACCTCTAAAAGCACAACTCCCAACGTGGCAAGTCCCTGAGAGGGCTTGGAAGAATCGTTTCGCGCCAAGAACCCCCAAGATCCCTCTACAGCCTTATGGCCTGAACCAAGTCTCTTTCTGTGGGATTGGGGATGTTCCCCCTTGTACGAACAGTCCTTAATTTGGGACTATAGTAGGGGGTACCATAACCCCTGATTGTTAAGGACTGTTAGCATAAGGGGGAACATCTCCGGGATCCTTCTGCAGATTTTTTTACAAAGCACGACCACTTATCTTCATGGCACCCTCCAAAGAGAAACAGGGAACTTACTAAACCCTAAACCCTAAACCCTAAACCCTAAACCCTAAACCCTAAACTTAAACCCTAAGCCCTAAGCCCTAAGCCCTAAGCCCTAAGCCCTAAGCCCTAAGCCCTAAGCCCTAAGCCCTAAGCCCTAAGCCCTAAGCCCTAAGCCCTAAGCCCTAAGCCCTAAACCCTAAACAAGCAAAGCATTCTTGGGAGCCTTGTGCTCGACCGCAGCGCGCGCGTTGGGAACCTGCTTGTGGAGACTCATGGGTATAAGTGGGGTTATAACTAGGGTAACAATAGATATCACTGGTTATATCCTTCTTTAGGGTACTTATAACCCTACTTATGACTACCCATGAACCTTCAAGTAGCCCTGAACCCTAAACCCAAAACCCTAAACCCCAAACCCTAAACCCTCAACCCTAACATTTTGGGGTTTAGGGATTGCTGGCCCACAGTGAAGTTGTTCGGACTTCAGGCCTGAGGTTTCACTGTTCAAGGCCTAAGAGTTGGGGTAGATGGCTACTATTTGCTTAATTTAGGGTTTCGGTTGAGGGTTCAGGGTTTAGGGTTTCGGGTTTAGGGTTTAGGGTTTGGGGTTTGGGGTTTAGGGTAAGATGTTCTTCCTTGTAAGGGTACGAAATGCAGGGACTATTCTCTTTTCATGTTTTGGGGCGAGTTCTTGGGCAAAATAGTAGGTAGAGAGAGATAGGGAGATTCAGCTTCAGGGTGCAGTGGTGTTGGTGCCTCAGCTTTCCAGAGATGATTGGTTTGTGGGCGGATTTCGGATGCTCCACAGGGCTTCTAGGGCTTAGGGTCTGGGATTTGTGGTTCAGGTGGGTGCTAAGGGTTTAGGGTTTAGGGTTTA